GTAGAAAAAAATGCTTTCAGTAAAAGACACATTGTCATTAATCCTCCTCAAAATACTCCCTTTGAGCATAATAATCTCATCCATTCTTGCCACATTCTGAAGCAGTTGTGGAAGCCCTCTTTGATCAAAAATATGGTAAAGGCTGCTGCTGAGTGAAAGGCAGCCTCAGAAAAGCATTATACTGTGTCCTCCTCTGCCTTATTCACCAGCTCTGGCACTATGTGACTTCTGGCTCTTCCCCAAAGCCAAAATAATCATGAAGTGGAAATATCTTTAATCACTTGAAAACATTCAGGCACCCATGACAGCACAACTAAAGACCCTCATGAATGAGGATTCTTAGAACTGCTTCAGACTCTGGCAGGAATGTTGGGATGAGTGTGCTCACAGCATGAAGGAGGAATTTGAGGGGGATTCATGCCAGTGTATGTTTCAGTATAATTTTACAAAATTTAAGCATGTACCATATATGTTGATCACATGTCCTACACTGTGATTTTTTTTTTCCAGTGGGCATTTCCTTCTCTTTATTTTTAAAGAAACTAAGCCAGTTTTTATAGTACAGTAAGTCATTTATTTAAAAATGTGGAATAAACTAGAGTTGTGGTTCGATTACTTTTCACAACATTATAAAGAGAATCTAATACTGCAGATGTTCATTTAAATGTCTGGTTTGGCTGGAGTAATTGTGTGACCAGTACTGAGCTCTCTGTAGACGTTCATGCTGTGCTATGTACTACGCTTCAGAGGTTCCCATGCCAGGCCTCTACTGATGCAGAGAACTGTTGTCCAACCCAGGCACTTCCCAGAGCATGATACTGCAGATAGACTGAGCATCTCCTGGGAATACAGGTCTACTTCTGACAAAGGCTGATGAGCCGCAGCCTCACAGCAAATCCTGGAGGGCGGAGGGATCCCCAGTAAGGATGTAACGTGAATGATTTTCTGGATGGCACCATATCTGTGTGATCAGGAAAACTCATGGAAACTAGGAAAGGTGACAGGGTCTAACTAGGAAGGGGTGACAGCCATTAAGACAGAGATGGTGAACTGGGTATGGTGGTGCATGCCGGTAACTTAGCACTCAGGGAGGCTAAGGGAGGACTGCAAGTTCAAGTCTAACCTGGTCAGTTTAGTGAATTACCCAGGCCCTATAAATCAACTGAGCTGTAGTTCAGCGCAAAGGCCCTGGGTTCGATCCCCAGTACTGTAAAAACAAAAACAAAAAATCAAAGAGGAGGAGGAGGTAGGGGTGGTGGGAAAGTTTCAGGCAAGCAGTGGACACTGGAGAAGGCCTCAGCTTTTTCAGCGAGGCACGTCAGAGCCAAGCATCCATCCTGGAGGGCCCAGCATCAGGTAGAAACTGCCAGGCTGAAACATGTTATGCTTGGTGCCTTGCCAGGACTGCCTGGAAGAGAGGACCTGGCCATGGACACTGGTGTTGCCTATGGTGCCGTCCTTGGACAGCACATTCTCATTTTAGGGCTGGGGCTCTTTTGTGGCCACCACTCCATCCAAGATAAAGAAGTAACCTTAGGGTCTGCCATCCCATTTGCATCTCTCAGCCCGCTCTCATTATGCACTGTCAGTGGGCTCCTGCTTTTCTGGTAGTTGTGGTTCCACATTGGTCTACAAGTTAATTCCTAGATCTTCGGATGAAATGTCGAAAGGAAGGGTGTCACATATTTGTGTTCCAAGGTTGTAAGTGCATTTCAACCTCAGCAAGTGTAAGAAGGAAGAAAATAACCATGAAAATTCTTCTAACATAATTCAAAGTCAAACATAAATGATCTCATTTGGCCATTTGCATTATTGATATATCTCTTGATATACTGACAGTACCTTTTTATACCAACATCCAGTTTGAAATTGACAATGGTCATAGGTGGTATTAAGCAGACTACATGGGCAGTACTTCATAATGTACACATGTACTACCTTGTTTGAGCCTCATACTTATGTGAGGCAGGTATTCGAGTTAGTTTACAGGTGATGGAACATTCTGAAAGTTAAGTGATTGTGGAGGAAGCACATGAACCACTGGCCCAGTCCATCTTCCTGTAGACCCTGCTTCCTGCATGGTCTGCCTCCCTTTTACCCCTCAGGCTTAGGGTAGAGACCCCGACATGCATGGACTTTACTAAGCTAGCATATGCTGCCTTGTGGTTCTGAGCACCTTGAAGGTCCTGTGCTGCTGCACCTGCTGCTCCCTGTCTCTGGAATAACACACCCCATGTCCTAGGTCACCCCCCACCTTCCCGTGAGGGTGCAGATCAGCAGCTGAGATGATGCAGTCTGCTCAAGTGTCCTTCTGCTGTGCCTCAGCGTCAAGCACAGGGGTTGTCACCCACCAGCTTCTGAGTCTGTGAAAGGACTTGAAACCAGGGTGTCTTTAAGGACAATATGGACAGACGCTCACATATTGTGCCCCTCCAGCTGGAGGACAGTGCATGTTGCCAAGAACAAAGAAAGGGGGCTAATTATTGCAGGAGACACAAAAATTAATTCTTAATTCAACTCCATTTCAGTGTTTCCTATTGCATATTACTGAAACAAGTTGGAAATTTTCTTGGATAAATAAAATTTCTTTTCCAATTATGTGTGAAGGCGTATTTTGTGTTTTTTCTTATCTAAATATAGGAAGAAATGAAAAACAGTAATTTCACGTTCCTTAAGAGAAACAGGATGGATGACTGATCTAAAGTTCTAATCAATGTATTGCTAAAACTGGGCTAAAAAAAATAAAGCACATTGAATTATTCTTTTCTTATTTATGATGAGACATGGGTGTTTGACATACAAAAGCCATCAAATACACTTATAGGTTGGATCACAAAAACAGAATTCTCAGCGTATGGAGTGAACCTTTAAGTATTTGTTCTTTTTTCCTTTTTTTTAGTGGTAGTAATTGAACTGAGGGCTTTCATATGGAGCTGTATCCCCAGTCCTTTTTGTTTTTTATTTTAACACAGAGTCTCACTAATTTGGGTAGGCTGGGGTTGAACTTGTGACTTCCGGGCTCAGCCTCCTTGAGTGCTGGATTACATGCGTCTACTACCATGCCTGGTTCTTGTCTATTGCTTCTATGTATGTCATTCATTCTTTTGCCTAGACTGTAGGCTCCCAGGAGAAAAACAACCAGTCTTGTATGTCTGTCTCTTTCTGATTCTCTATTACTGCTCCTCAAACTTACGATGTAAAGCAAAAACCATTTTCTGATGTTCCTGGATTCTATGGGTGGTGAACTCAGACTGGGCACACCAGGGTACCAGGAACTGTGAAGGCTCTGAGATTCTCACTCACTTGCAAGCCAATAAGCTAGCTGCCACAGCTGAGTGGACGCAGGTAGAAAACAGGAGACCGGGCCAGAGGCTTGAGTTTGCATAGCAATAGCAGGAATCTGAGTACCAGTACTTTCTTGTGTCCATCTTTTGGGGCCTTTCTTGTGTCCATTTTTGGGGTGCTGCAGAAAGAGCCAGGCTACACCTTAAATGTAGTGGATGGCATTTTAAAAGAGGGACCTAGAGCACTGGGAACCCCAATCAGCAGGCCATGCCTACCATAAACCCAAGCAAGATGATATTTTTACTGAAGAGGAATAAGTCTGCTGAAAGCAAACTTGCCCTTAGCATCAGAGGGTGAGGTAGTCTCTTTCTTCTGGGCTGTTCACTCTGTCAGCATCTTCCAAATGAGCATCTGGAACAAAGGCACTGGTGCTTTGCCCAGCAGATACTCAGAAATGTGAGAGACACGTGGGAAATGGCTTCAGCTGGGGACCCACATGGCTGGGGCTAGAGTTATCTGGAGGCTTCTCCATTCCCGTATCTGGTGGCTGCATAGACTGGAAGCCTGTGTGCTCAGCTGGGACTGTCACCTGGAATCACACTTTTGGGGTTGAGGTTGTCACACCTGTTGATTATAAGAAGGCCACCATGGGCAGCCCATATTCATCAGGAAAGGAGGCAGATTTGGCTCTAACTGTGGGTGTCTGGCCATGCCACACTGGAGCAGAGCACACAGGGCAAAATATTGTGGTGGTCCTTGGAAAGCCTTACGCTATTTGTGTAGAATGAGCACAAGTCTGTGCTCATTGTAGACATAACTACACTCTAGTGTGCAGAAAGAATCTCCATATGCAGGCTGCCATTCATGCCGCAGAGTGTACCGGAAGACAAGGTCCACATGAAACTACTGGCTGTGGCCTTGGGGCAGTCACTTGCCTAACTGAGCCTTTGAATCCTTGGTGGCCAGGAAAGCACCAGAAACATACAGGCCCCAGTCCCTCTGCTTCACAGGTAATGTCAGGTGAACAGAGTCCAGAGAGTCTTGCTTGGGGCTGGGCAAGTGTGTCAGGGGCTCTGAGGACTGCTGGGGGATATATGTCTGCCCTGGAGGTAGAAGTCTATAGACCATCTGCACAGAGGCTCCTCTGGGCCCTCAGTGGGAGGCACACAGCTTCTAAATTAATAATGTTACCCAAGCCTTTTAATCCATCTGAGTGACAGGGAGCAGCAAGGGGAGCATCTAGCTTTCTGCCCTCTGGTGGCTGGACCACAGGACTAAGTGGACCATTACATGGCTTCTGGGCTTCTTCTAGTCCAGGGCCCACTTCACCTAGTGAAAGGAGAATAAAAAGTGTGTGTTGGGGGAAGGATAAGATGTGAAGGGAGATGTGAGGAGCAAAAAGATAGCCGGCATCAGGATTACACTGTGACTGCATTCGGTTTACTCAAACAGCTAGCAGTGCTCTGGCAAGAAGCCCACGTTACCTTCACTGTTGTGAATGTAAAGGATAAACACGTCTTTGACAAGATGGCTACTGCTCCTACTGCCAAAATGTAGACATTTTTCTATTATCTATTATTACTGCTCTCTATCAATTAAAAACTAATTTAGGGTTTATCAATTTTGACTAAATATACTGTTAAAATGTACTAATCTGAACTTGACACAGCTAATTTATAAAGCATAACATAGGACATCTCAAAGGAGAAAATGCCTTGGTTGAAGCTTAATCCATTTATTTATGACAGTGTAGAACACTCTACTTTTAGACATCAGTGGGTTTTGGTTTTGTTGACATTTTTCCTTGTTTAACAGAAAGCAAGCCAGGAAAACCACATGGTGACTGGTAGCAACAGTATCAGTAAATGGGAGAAAGTACACAGAACATTCTTGCTTGGAATGATGTTAAAGCAGTTGGTCAGTAAGTCTTCACCATCTAAGACCTATGACACAGTCATAGTCAAATAGCATGGGACAGGAACCCTCTCGACACAAAGGTTTTTGTTTTATACATGGAATATCATGATGGGTAGAAGGCCACCAGCTCTTCACTGGATTGCTCTGAGATTCAGAGACATGGATATTTTTCATTTCAAGCCATTGTGCAACAGTTTCTTTTAACACCACCTTCTCATGCTCAGTACCACTAACATGTCATCTGGACACTCCCGCATCTCAATGCATGACACATAAGTGGTCACCTGCACCACACAGACACATGCAGTTAGGAGGCTGGAGGACTCTGCAAAGAGGGCAAGAAATCACGGGACTCTTGCACTGTGACCTAAGGACACATCTGTGTTTCTTGGTGGCACCCACTTCTGGAAACAATATCAGACCATGACCCAGTGAAGTCTAGCAAGCCCACCCCTTGTTTTACATGCACCATCAGGGCTTGTCCCAGTCTTCCGCCATCTCTTTCAGGCTCATATTCATGTCTTTGGAAACATGAAATGTCCCCAAATAAATGTACCCTTCTTCAATGAAACACATTTCCCACTCAAGGACTAACGCTGACTTCAAGCTAAAGTGAATGCAGGCAGCTGAGGGTCCTTAGAAAACTTCCTTAAGAATCAGAAATGTGTGTGATGTCACAGTTATCAGAGAGGTCTGCATGCTGCTTATTAAATTAAATGCACCTGGTGTGTTTATACAATGTGTCCAATGGCTTACAGATTAGGATCCTAGAAATAACACCTGTCTTACAGCAAAAAATATACATATAATACTGCACTACAGTCCATATAAATGATGAACTGCTTGAATATATCTATACCTCTACATATTTACAGATATGTACCCTGCATGTGGAGTCAGGCACACACACAGCAGCCCTTCCCTGGCTCTTCCACTTCAGTGTCCAGGACACCAGGTTGCAGTCTCAGTGGCTGACACAGGGGTCACCGCTGAGGACAAAGGACTGGCTTGATGCATCGTCCCCTGTGCAGGACCAAGTCAGCTGGACAGTGGCAGCCTGCCACACACGGCTTGTTGCAAGGACCGATCTCATTCCAGGTGTCACAGGTCTTCACACACCCCGGGCCACAGGTGTCGTACACAGCGCCGTGCTTGCACTGGGTGGCTGCAGAAGAGGAGACAAAGCAGGATCTGGAGGAACGGCTCAGCCTCAGCCTGGGGCCAGGCCTGCAGGCCGGGTCCATGCACAGACCTTTCCCCAGTACTCAGGTCTGCATGGCACTCAGATCTTCATTTTAATGAGGGAATAACCAACACCTTACATCCTTCACATACTTTGGGAATCACCTGCATCCATAAAAACAAATCCTAAGATCTATCTCTTGGGTCAATGAACTTCAAAATAGCATATACTAATAATGTAAGCTTTCCAGTCTCAGGTAAGGCAAACTATAAAGCATAAGCCTGTAGGAAAATGTGTAAGGTTATTTGGTTATTGCAAACAGCATGACAAATTAATCCCTAGTAGTCCTTCTAGCTATGGAGCTGTGGTGAATAAAAATATTCTGTGCAACTTTATAAATATTAAACTATATGAAATTATATACACAGAAATAAAAAACCTACCAAGGATATTGGAAATGTGTGACATATTTTAGTCAAAAACAATCAATTTGAGGCAAGTTAGAGCAAAAGTGGGGCAGAACCACAGACAGAGAAATCAGATGTGTGACTGAAGCAAGGGCAGTAGCCGGGCTGGGGCTGGCCAGGGTATATGAAATCAGTGAGGTAGGTGAGCCTGGCCAATCTGCTATCATTATGAACACAGAGCTGACGTGATTCGGACAACAGAGACCCTGAAACTTCATGAACAGATTCATAGGCAGACACTTACAAAAACAACCTGAAAATCTTACAACACTCAGATTTTTCCACCTGAGTCGCTTCCAGGGACAATGGGAGGGACGGCCCCATGCTCTCATCACCAGGAATTTTGTCACACGTGGGAATCTGGAGCAGTGATTCTCCCAAAACATCAGTAACAATCCACCTTCACTTGAAATTGCTCCAAACAAAACCCATAATAACAGAGGGTCCATAGTCAGCAGCTTAAACATTGCTATTGTTCATGGGTTCACAGAGTAATACCTGGTGAAGAATCTTGGAACTGTAAAAATGATAAATAGAACTGGTTCCAAGCAAATGGGCCTTCCCTCAAGTCACTCAAATTATGCGCTGAGAGCTGCCATGCAATGCTGGTATTGGACTGTAATTACCAAACAACAATTTAATAAGAACCGTAAAATAAATTCTACGAAGGCTCCTTGAATGCCCATCACACTAGTTAAAGCCAAAAGAGCAAAGAGTCATCCCATCCAAAGAGAATGCAATTATCCTCACACATTCTTTCTCATTGTCAGAGAACTGAGCTGTGTGGAACAGCATTTTGAGAAACATTTAAATGGAACTGATTTTAAAATATCTGACTCTATAATTTACATTTTTCCTGATGGAGTCCTATAAGATACTGACATATTTATTTATCTGTACTATAAATGTTAACTAAACTGTTAACTATTGCTACCCACCTATCCTGAGCAAAGCCACTGTACCACTTTAGAAGGTAGGTAATTACACCCAGTGATGTGAAAATTACCAATGAAACTGCTCACTCCCTCAGCTTCTTGAGGTGCATTTTTTGGTTCCCATCAAAACCACACTCCCACATTCTCTATCCCTTCCCCACTGTTTCTCCTTTACACAGGTGTGACTCCATACAGAGCTCCGTTTACTCTGCCTTCTGACACCAGAATGTTAGCTTGCAGAGGGCGGAATTCATGCTGCTGGTCACATCATCTCTAGCCTCCAAATGTCCCTGGTTACAACAGCCAGTGTTAAATACAATGATACCTCAGTTCACAAACACTTTTTTTACAATTTGATCCAAAACCAGAAGTGTTTGGCAAAGTTTTGCTTTGGTTTGCAAACTCTGCATCAGTTGACAAACGTGACTGTATCCGTCTTTCCCACACAAACACAAATGTGGCCATCTTTTCCAAAATTGTAGAACAAATCATGTTTATGAACTGAGGTACCACACTGTACTTGCTCAGAGAGTGAGTGAATCATGAATAGACAAATCGTGCAGAACAGGGTTGAGCATGGTCCATTTGTCCCACGCGTCTGCTCCCTGCCCTCCTTTACCCTGTTCTGTGATCTGGCTCCATGCTCACCTCTTCATGTGACACCAGAGGCTCCCTGTGGACACTGAACACCATCAGGAGATGGGGTGGAAGGAGGACAGCAAGGCCAGGTGTTTGATCTTCACCCTGTGCTGTTGAGGCCACTGTGAGCCACTGCTCCTACTGGGTGGCCCTCTCCACACACTCCACAGGTCTCCAGTTTCCAACTACTAACTCCTCCCTGCCTTTGAGGCCAGGACTGAAAACAGTCCACCTTTTAGAAACTCAGTAAACATCAGCTGAGCATGTGCTGTGTGCTGGCCACCCTCATAAGCCTGGGGATCGAATAGGAGTCAGATACCACCCCTGACTCAGTTCTAAGAATCTGGGCTGGCAACCCAGTAGGTAAAGCTTGCAGGTGGTTTCTAAGTGAAACAAGGATGTGTCATATGAAACAGAGAGACAGAACATGGGGGAAGAGTGAAGAGAGGACTTTCACTGGCCGGGCAGAGATCAGATCCTGGAGGTTGTGAGAGGTGATCAGAAACCTGTCACAGACACAGAGGAAGAGCTTCCCAGGCAGACAGCGGCAAGAATAGGAGGCCCTGTGGGCAGCAGTGGGTGTGACAACTGACTCCAGCCAGGGTCCTGGGCTCGGTGGGTGGGCGGAGAGACTGTGAGATGAGAGAACAGTGGGAGATAAAGGCAGAGACAGAGGCAGGAGCCAGAGACCACAAGCGATCCCACAGCCCGGGAGGCAGAAAGCCTTGGAAGAGCTTTGAGCTGAGAATGACGTCATCACATTTGGCTTTGATTTAGCACAACTTTTAGATGACCTTACAAAGTTAATGGTGACTTGAGCCTTCTTTTATCTTCTGTAAATCCAACTGTCTTCCAAATTAGAAAAAAGATAATGATAATTTTTAAACACAAATGTGCTTTGGTTTGCTTTCATGGCTTTAAAAAGGATTCATTTGGTTTATTCATAAAAAAAAAAAAAAAAAAAAAAACCAGGGAACTGCCGAAGTGGTTAGTGTTAGCACGTATTTATTCTCCAGGGGACACTCAGACAGTTGCGGTGACACATAAAACACTGCATGCTGGTTTTACTGATCCCTAAGTTCATTTAGTAAATGTGGCTCTGTGCCTCCTGGAACTGAGCTGTTTCTCTGTCCCCTGTTGGCTGCTGAAGGTTACACACCCTGCTTTATCCTCTGACTTTTTGTCAAAGTTCAACAATTTAAATACCAGATGACCAAAAGTTGCATATATTCTCATTACTTTATATAAGATCATATCAAGAAACAGAAAAACAACAATTTTATTAAATTTATTCAGCCCAAGAATCAACTGGTTGAAATGATGCCCTCCTGAGCCATGCTCCAGACGGTGAGTACATAACAAAATGCGCTGCCCAAGTGATGCTTGGGGTAAACTGTTATGTGGTTACAGGAGGCACCCGGGCAGCAAGGAGAGGCTCAGTGCATACAGCTCAGAGCTGCTGCAGGGAAGGAGCGGGAGTCACTGGGCATTGTAGAGCCAGATAAGGAGGGAGAAAGGTGCCCAGGGAACCCAGCATCCATGGTGCCACAGGAAGACACACACACCACTCCCCAGAACATACTCCAGTTATAAATGCATTTCTGAATGTGCAGTGCCAGTCAGTGTCAGTGGTAGGCAGTGGCAGTAATTCTGCTCAGAATGGTGATGTAAGACACAGGAGAGAGGATCTTAACAAATTTACAAGCCCAAGGCACCAGGTCACTCCTGCTGGTGATAAGGAACAAAGGAGCAGAAACTGAAGTCACTGAGGTTAATAAAGACCTAGATGTCAAATAGTTGCATGGAGCAGCTGGTGCTCATGTAAATACAGGAATAAGTGTGTACCCATGCTTTTCTACAACGCTCTTGCATTTCTGTGTCCTCAGAATGACTAAAAAAAGGAACTAGGTGCAAATTGGCCTCAGTTCAACCATTAGCTTCCATGCTTTCTAGAGATTTTGGCTTTTAGCAAATTCCTTAACTATTTAAAGCTTCAGAGTCTTTATCAATATGTGGCTAATACAATATTGTCATGGGCATAAAGTATGATAAAATATAATACAAGCTGCTAGTGTAGTCCTTGGGAAAAAGAGGCATTTACAGAATAATAAGTGCCAATAAATATGGTGATTATGCAACTTTTATGTACCCTCACTAGAGCCTTCAGCATATTACTTTTTATACAGTAATTCCCGGGCTAACTTACAGTCCCATTAGTCTTTCCTCATACCACTAGTAGGCATTGCCATGCCCAGAGTGCTGATGGAGTTAAAATCCAGGCCAGTTTTGAAAACAACACTCATTCATTCAGGCTTTCTTGCCTGCTGGCTTCTTATCTGTGCAATGTCTAGGCTTTTTATTCTGGACATTTCTCTTCTTTGCTTTACATGCCTTCAGTGCTGTTTTGAGTCAGAACACCTGGGAGCTAAAGCAAGGAAACCATCTTCTCATCTTCAGTCTTCTAGGTGGATCTGAAATAAATTGACTGGGAGGTGCTGTGTAGCCCTGCAGATGCATTTCTTCAGGTTCCAGCTGTCAGACTGTGGATGTGCACTGTGTGTGTGTGTGTGTGTGTGTGTGTGTGTGTGTGTGTAAAGCACTGCTCTCAGCTGCACTGTGATAGAGTGATACTTTACCCCAATGGCTCCATTAATTCTGAGAGGTAAATGGAACCTTTCAGCAGCCATATTCCTTTTCCACTAGAAAAGCAATTTTGGCTCCAGGGATTCTACTCCTGAAATGAGGATGATGACATGAAATGTGCAGCCCTGGATGCAGTGAGTGTGCTGATATGGAGCTCAGTACAGTGCTGGACCAGGAATAGAGGATCCACAGATCCAGTATCCAACCACACCACCACCATGGTTGATGAGTCAGATTCTGTTGAGCCCTGCATCACACCACAAAGTCAGGGGGAGACCTGGACTCTTTATTTTATTCATTTTCTGGTAGATTCAAGGGAAACGGAACTCTAAATGGAGAAAGGAGGCTCAGAGTATTCAGTGGGGCTGGAAGGACCCAGCCCCTCACCCATATCACCCTCACATTCTACCTGCACTGAGGTCACCACTTCCCTGCCCTGTAGCGACTGTGGTCACACCCATGCTTCTTTGAGGAGGGCAGCCCTGCAGACAGGACTCTGGCCTGGAAAAGCACATTCTGATTGGAAGGTTGGACTTGGCCTGCAGAGATGACAGCAAAACTGACATGAAGGTCAGAGGGAGGTCAGGGACAGAGACCAGTGGCTACACCTGGGGACAACTGAGAAACACCACACTCATGTGCTGTCACCCATTCCCCCAAAACTACCAGGTAAACACTCACTACTTTCCAATCTGGCTGCAGGTCAGAGTCACCTGGGAAGATTTAAACATGCACAAGGCCCGAAGAAGTAGGGTGTCTGGACAAGGGGTCCAGGTATAGGTTTCTGTGGTGCTCTGTAAGCTCGTCTAGTGATTCCAATTCCAGCTAGGCTGAGACCCACGGGTCTAAGTGAACAGACATCTGCGCACTGTAAACACAGCTTCGGGGCTGTTTTCCTGACCCTCCCTCCACCCAGAGGGCCACTCCTGTGCTCCACCAATGCAGACATTCCAGAGCTTGCAGCAGCCTGAACTAACTTCTTCTCCGAGGCTATAAAAGCTGCAAACCCCAATCCCTTCATCTAGGCAAACAGAAAAGGTGGCTGAACACTCCAGCAGGTGACAAATATTCAGTCATCTTCTCTTCACAGCTAAATGACAGTAGCAGCTTCTACAGACTGAGTATCTTCTGTGAACTGGCACCTTTCAGATGTCCCACATGTACATCGCTAATGCTCCTACCCTGAGATAGTGAACAGTATGGAAATTTCAAGCATGCCCAGACCCTCTCCCCTTCTTTCCACATGCATGGCCATCATCCTAACACAGGCCACCATCCATTTTTCATCAGGGCTCCTGCAACAGCATCTTGCTGGGCCACCTGCTCTTAATCTTTTCTCCTGCAATCTACTCTCCATACTAAGGGTCCCCAACCATTGGACAAAGGGGCAGTACTGGTCAGTGGCCTGTTAGGAACTGGGCTGCATAGCAAGAGGTGAGATGCAGGTGAAATTTCATTTGTATTTACAGTCATTCTCCATGATCCATCACCACCTGTTCAGCAGCAGCATGATTCTCACAAGAGCTCAAACCTTACTGAGAACTGCCCATGCGAGGGATCTGGGTTTATGCTCCTTCACTCATTCCCCAGTTACCCCAATCCATGGAGAACTGTCTTTCATGAAAATGGTCGCTAGTACCAAAAAGGTTGGGGACCACAGTCCTCTACAGGATAGCCAGGGTCATCTCTGGAAAACATAGAGGCCTGCTGAATGCCCATCAGGGGCTCTCACCCCTCTAGGAATAAATGCTAGACTCTTGGGCAAGACGCACAAAGCGGAGCTGGGGATTTAGCTCAGCGGCAAAGCGCCTGCCTGGCAAGCACAAGGTCATGAGTTCGGTTCCCGGTACCGGAGAAAAAAACAAAACAAACAAACAAACAAACAAAAAGACGCACAAAGCCCTGTGCAGCCAGCTTCTGCCCGCCTGACCTCATGTTGAGCCGCTCTGTCCCTTGCCCTCCAGGCCAAGCCGCACTGGGTCTCTTCCAGTTGGAAGCACTGTTGTTTTTCTGCCGTGTGGCTGTCCAGTGTGCTTATTCTACACAGCATGCTTGCCTGCCTCCCCGTGGTCCTTCATGATGTGCTGAAATGCCACCTTGCCACCTCTGCTGACTTCCCTCTTTACCTAGTCCCTAGGGCTATCCGTCTCCTCTCCATTTGTTTGCTAGAGCTCAGCTCTGTATGTTTTCATTTTCATTCTTACCATAGTTTGCAGGTGTTCATCTTTGAGTTATTGCTTTTGTCTGATTCTCCTGTAAGCAGCCAGCACCCCAGGGACAGAGGCCCCATCAATCAGCGTCACCACAGTGCCCAGTGTCCAGCCCGTCCTCAGCCACTTTGTGACAAACATTTCTTGGATGCACAAAGTCATCCATTTTACAGATAGGAAATAAAGCTAATTAACTTGCCTTGAGGGCAAAGAACTCATAACAACCTTTACAGAAATCTGTCTCTGTGGGAGTGGGGGTGGGGAAGAATATTTTGCTATGGTGTGAATAACAATCTCTTTCGTAAAATGATCACGTTTATCTTAACACCTTAAGTGGCTGTACTTGTCCCAAATCCCTTGCTCCACACACAGCCCAAGCCTCAGGACAACTGCCCATGTGCTAAGTGTATCCAGCTGGTAGCTCGAGGTGAAGAGAATTTGGCAACAGTGGAAATCCTCAGACTGTTTAGATGTGCCCCTCACAGGGCATTTCTCTTAGGCATTGTCTCCCCTTCTCCGTGAGAAGCCCTTGTGTTTTACTAACTGCAATCCAGTTGGGCCACCAATGGGATTTCCCTTTGGCTGAGGGGACATGGCCACTGGAGTCAGCGTCTGCAATCCCCTGTGTGGCCATCTGGGGCAGCACAGTGCCTCCTGAAGGGTGGGTCCTTGCGCCTCTCTTACCTGCACAGTGCTGCTGTGGCTCCCAGGGCACCTTGACGCCCTCTCTCTGGCAGGCCCGGGCATAGGCCAGAAACGACTCACAGTAACAGTTTCTGTGTGCTGGACACTCACACATGTCTGTCACGCAGGACCTAGGAGACCAACAGAGACAAAGGGACATTTACAAATATCAAATCACATGTAAGCGGCAGGAAGCCCCAGGGGGATGGATGGGAACTCTGATTAGAAAGCGCATCACGGTATAAAGTGATACTGTGAGATGCCTCTGAGCACTGTGATACTCAGTTTCCTTCTGCTAGAGTAGGACGGGCCAAAAGACAGGTATGTTCTGTCATCCTCACTGTCCAAATCAGCAGACACTGTCCATCCGTGGTTATGGAGCTCTTGGTGTGTGGCTGGTGTGACTGAGGAGTTGAATTCCTACTTAGATTTCATTGTAATTAGCTGAGATGTGAAAAGCCACACACACTGAATGGTTACTTTACTGGAAAGGTAGTACTTTAGATGTGACCACCATTCAGCTCACCACCACTGTGTATGCAGCAGTGACAGGAAAATGGCAGGTGCCACTGCAGCCCAACCCAAAACAGTGACCTGCTGGGTGATAGCACAAAATCGCATGGCTTTCTGAGAATGTGTAAATAGAATTCACTTGGGCCATATCTTAGAAACCCAGGCTTTTAACGAACATGTAATCTTCACTCTTTAGTATACAGGGGAACAAATTCCAAACAATGCAAGCATTTCAGGCACCTAATTAGACTGAGAGGAGAAGAGGGCTGAATCAAGATCTCCACAGCTTAAGTATGGAAAGGATGGAGCAAGAGGTAGTTGAACTGAATTGTGCTTAAATACAAACTGACACATTTTCAGCCAGGACTCCAAGGCAACAATGATGACCTCACACTGATGTGTAACATTGCAGTTTACATAGTGCCTTCCCATCCATCCCATCACAGACTGGTAAGCAAGACAGAGTACAGTCTCTGTTTTACAAGCAAAGGGGTCATTTCACAAGGGAGTAGGTGGGCCCAAAGTCACACTTACAAGCAGAAAAAGCAAATCAAATTATCCTTCTTCTTTTTGAGAGTAGCTCTGTCTTTATTACACCACACTACAATCATCACCTTTATCTGTGAACAACCGACTGCCTAACAATTTTCAGTTTTCATTTAAGCAAACATTCCCAAAGTTAAAAAAACTAAGCAGTGTTCATTGTTTTCATACCCTTGTTCAGCAAACTCTGCTCTTCACAAAACCAATTTCAAGGCTGAATACAGAAAAGGCAACACTCAAGATTACAAGTAGTGCAGCTGATCCTGAAAAGTGACCTGGACATGGCCCGCCAATGTTACCACGGCAGTATTTTCTCTTGGTGAGGGATACTGTGCCCATCTGACTACAGAAACGGCCTGGGTAGGAGGTGGCATAGCACCTGTCCCAAGTAAGAGTGAAACAGCGGAACCACACTCAGGGCCCACAGTCCCACAGTGCACCTGCAAAGGTGCCACAACCCAACTCTCCAGAGTGCAGACTTGGGAAATAAAAACTCAGAGACAAAAGAAGAAGAAGAAGAGATTTTAAAATTAAAGAGCCTGTTCCATTTTCCTGACTGACGAGTGTTATTTAGACAGGACAGAAAACCAGTCTCTACCTCTCTGTAATACTCAAGGCTGCTTTTCTTACTACGTTTTTTCCTTCTTTACAGGACTCCTGTGCAATCGTGCTCTAGCAAAGGCACCCAGGCACTAAAGGATGTCCTTATGTTGCAGGGAGCCTCCGTTCCTCCTAAGAAAATCCAAGAAAGCTTGCCCTTGGGACACCCTCTAAATGTCTGTCTATGAACTCTCCTTGCCAACACCATTTCCTGTGTTGCCTCAATTTTCATTTCAGAATAACCCACACCCATCAGCTCCACGCTCAGATTCCTAACAGCATGTCTGGCTGCTAGGGTGACCTCTAACCCCATTCCCACTCACTTCCCCAGTAGACTTTGGTCGCTGTCCTCTTTCCTGGCCCTTGGGGTAAGGGGCTGTTTCCTGTGTGCAGGGCTCCCCCTGGTGTGACTTGGATAAAATGGCATCTAATGGGGCTGCTAAAACCAGGGTGCTGCACGGGTCAGGCTGGTCTTCCTAGGAGGAAATGAGTCCTCCAGTCTGAAAGAATGCCTACTATAATTATGTAAAATTTCAGGACTAGTACACAAATAAATTTTAATTTATTTGGGCAAAAAGTTTGTTGTTTAACATTTCCTTCAATTTTTCTTGTTTTGTACTGGCTGTCTTGTGAAGCTGCTTCTTTAATTTAAAACAAAGCATGGACAGCTAAATCCAATTCATTGAGACTCAGAGAAAACACTGTAACCACACATTTAATTGTTGCTTTGTCCACCAGGCCTCACCTACAGAGGTAGGTAATAATATGCATACCCTTTACAGCTAAGGAAGACTGGAGCTTCTCTAGGACTTAGAGCCCATGTGAAACATTTGAAGAAATGACATTGGTCAAAGTCAATTCTTTAAAGTTTTTTGTCATAGATGTTAAAATTCTTAGACATTGTCTTTCACTGAGCAAGTTAATAACTTTTACACCAAACTGCTCAGGACGTGTGAGAACACGGGAATCAGATTCACCACACTCTGCTGGCAGAAGGATGAGACTGCAGCTCCCACTGTCCCGGAGGCTGCGCAGAACACTGAAGCAGACGTTGCCACTACCCTCTTAACAGGTAGGGAGCTGAAGCTTGGAGATGGCAAGGACCTGCCCAAGTCACATGGCTGGGAAGAACACAAGCTCTGCAGACCCAGGAATACAACTCAAGTTCTGCTAGTGTCAAAACCCCACACTCACAGTAAACATATGTGAAGATCTTTCTAGAGAACACTGTGGCCATACTGATGAGTGGTCCAAAGAAAGGCTCTTATTCTTTGACAAGGAAATTTTACACCTAAGAAAATAAGAATGAACATGGACAAACATTTTATAGAGAGTTTCACCATAATACAATTTAAATTAAAAGAAGAAGAAAACAAGAACATGAGCAAAATTGCCCACAATAGGGGCCCTGTTTATTTTTGTTTTTTGGTTTTTTTTTTGTTTTTGTTTTTCTCCAGTACCGAGAATCGAACTCACAACGTTGCGCTTGCCAGGCAGGCACTGTGCTGCTGAACTAAATCCCCAGCCCCCTAGGGGCTCTGTTTAACAAATTTCAGTATCTTGCACAGTGAAATATTCCACAGCCAATGTGATGACGTTTGTGAAATATTTTCTTAAAATATGCAAAAATGTGCTGGGGAGATAGAACGGAAAAAAGGATAACAAAAATTCAATGCTGCGTAATCACAGATAAAAAGCAAAACTAGCTGAAAACAGTGAAAAGCACTCAAATATTCATGGCTGCCAATTCTGGGTGGTAGAGTGGTGGTTTTTTTTATTTCCTATTTTCTACAATGAACACCTCACTTTTCTAAAATTATAAACATCACAGTTTGTTTTCAAAATAACAAAACAATAACATGGAACACACTAATACTTTAATCAGAATTCGAGAACTAGAGGAAGACAATAAAGGCTAAGAATGGTGGAAATCACACAACTCTGTTCAGATCCTCACTACGAGATAATTCAGCTGAAATCACTTCCATCTCTGTGTTGGGGGCCTCCTGACACACTGTGATTTGGTCACCCGGGTTGCCTTCACATTTCCACCTCGCTGGTCTCGGCTGCTGGGAACCTGACATCAGGTGGACAGAATAGATGTTGGGAGAATTCTGCACCCTTTTGTTGCATATAAAGGAATTTATTAAAAGAAACACACAAGTATTTAAAATGTTCTTCAAAATGTAAGAAGGGGCAAAACTATTGTGATTGAACTCTTCCATTTCTTCATAATTCTCTATGAGGAATATCTAATTTAGGACTATTCATCAGAGATGAATTTTTACGTGTGTGTAGGAAATTATTGTCTCTTCTTTGACCTGTATGTATGAACATTGCACATGTATACTCATTTTATAGAATAGGTAGCAAGGCTGTAGTGACTTTAACTGCATAGCTAAGAGCCATGGCTTTGGTATTTCTGCTTTTGTGGCATTGCGTGCCACCCTTCCATTCCATTGGATGTGGAATTGGTCAGGAAACTCAGCAACCCATCACTCCAGTAAGAAAACACAAGAGCTTCTCCAGGAAATCTCTACAGGTGAAAAGCTCCTGTCTACACAGTGGGTTTCCACTCTATAGGAATTAAGAGTATAGCAAAGGGAACAGCCTGCTGCAATTCCTTCAAAGCACCTAGCAGCAGTATCAGAACAACCTGTGGCTTGGTCCCTCCCTGGAACCCAGTGGACTCCAGCATTGGTGCAGGGGATCTGTCCCCTCCCTCTCATCCATCAAGCTGCTATAATTGTCCCCTGCATGGTGCAAGACAGTAAGCACCAGCATATATGCTATTTAGATCAGAATTTCAGCTAAATACAATTGATTAAATTAAATGTTCATCTCTCAGCCAAACTGCCCACACTTCGGGGTTCCAGGACCACATGGCTCATGGCCACCATGTTGAAGGGCACTAATGGGAACATTCCCAACCCCGAAGAAAGGCCCACTGGATGGTCCTGCCAACAAGGAAGCTCCACTAACATCAGGAAACCATTCCTGTGCACCTGGAGGGATTGTGAATGGAGTGAGGCTAGGAGCAAGCTCACTCCTGCCTTCTGACTGGGCTCCTACAGAGAAGGCCCATACTGCTTGGTATCAAATTCAATCCATGATTCAATCCACCTTTTCTCACTCCGTCTTTTTTCTTCCACTTATCCTTTCACCAAGTCTATGGACCACCTCACTAACCCTCAGCTTCCTCCCACCTGGATCGTCCTGTCTTTTCCAGGGGAAATCTGAGGTTGACATTTCAGACTCAGTTTAGATTGCTCATCAGGGTCAGAGCCTGTCCCCGGGAAGGGTGGTTGCTCCCTGTGGGGTCCTTGTACATCATCCTTGCAGGATTGCACAAGCCTCTGAACCACAGTCAGCCCTTTCCCTGTTGGGGGCGAGGACTGTCTGCCTCATCCAGCCCCAGACAGAGCTTGGACTACAGAGTTCAGGAAACACCCACTGAATCACATAGAGTGGGCAA